CTTCTAACTGGCGAACTCTCAATGCAAACCGACTCCTTATGTAGCCTCAGCACGGATCGCATAGAAAATACTTCTCTCAGCTGTTCTTCTATTGTTGCATCACGTAGCTATCATCACGGACCCCGTAAAGAATATCACTTCCCAGTTACTCCATTATTGCTTGTTACGAAGCTGTTGTCTAGCAGCAGGTATGTTTGCCGAGCCGTTGCTTAGTAACAGGCATGTTTTCAGAGCCGTTCCCTAGCAATAGCTGACTCTGCTGTCTTCACAGTTCTTGCCTTCAGCAAATATACCACATTATCAGTTACACCTGGCCATTCTGCAGGCTTTAATCTACAAGACTAAAGTAGAGAAATTCAATGAAATTGTTCTATTAAGTTTTGATAAGACAGTCTCTGGCGAATTCTATGATTTGAAGAGTTATATCTTCTGGGCACAACGCCGTGTAGTTCGTTGAACTTCGACTAACGATTCGGAGGAAAATGTCGCCTTCATCTTCAGGATCAAAGAACAAACCAAGCAAGAGACCAGCATGAAGCATGCAACGGGCATAAGGCAGTACCCTTCATAGCCATCGCTGAGAGAACTCCATTAATTGTTTACTGGTGTTCACCGCGTCACGATATTATCACTTCACGAAAGATAGTTAAAGTCAATAATGCGCAAATAAAGGGAAGGCAGAATACGTAAGCCACTCTCTGTCGTCAGCCACAGTTCTCAGTGCAGCCAACATCAGTTCCGAATGACTTTTATTGTTTTTTAATTTTCTTTGTGGTAAATTTCATTCTCAGCTCAAATGTTAAAAATTGACTACTCTGCCTATAGTAACGACATGTGAAAATTGAAGGTGTATCTCCATGCCATAACACGTTTGCATAGCGTGACTAGGTGTGCTTTTTTAATTGCTAGTGGAGTGGGACTAAGTCCCTTGCCCTGCGGCTACTTCTGGGCTATTGTAGCAGCCCCAGATGATAGGTGAGGGTGATTGTGGAGCAATTGGTGGAATGAAGATTGGCAGGGGAAACCGAAGTACTCGGAATAAACCTGCCCCAGCGCCACTTTGTCCACCACAAATCCCACTTGACCAGATCCGTGATCGAACCCGGGCCGCCACAGTGGGAAGCCAGCGACTAACCGCTTGAGCTATGGCGCGGCCCCTAGGTGTACTTTAGCTTCAGTTAAGTGTCTGGATCTTTGGGCGACTTAACAATCTCCAGACTTGGAAAATAAGAAACGTGTCAATATTAGTTCTAATCAACCAAAGAGCTGCTTGTCTTTTCTAAGGTATAGCAACGTGTTTCTCTACTTACAAAGTAATCATATCTGTTAGACTTGTCACGCTTTCTTAAACCATAACATGAACCATTTGCGCTCCTATATCTGTTCAATTTGATCAGACTGAAAGACATTCGTCCTGCAAATGCATAGATTTCTTCTCAATTGATGGACCAGTCCTTCTTTCTGTCACTTTGAATTTAAGTAACATGGCTCTACCCTACATCCTGTTTCTTAGCTTGTTCTTAACTACATAGATTATACAGTGCTGAATGGTATTGTGACTGACACAAAGCTGCAAACTGTGTGGAGGAAGGTATTAGCATGTCTGAGGCCGACATTCATCCTAACGAAGGCTACACGCCGAACATCGACGTTCAGTTTCAGACATTCTGTGGTAAGAATGATGAACACTGCAACCGACGAACATTTCGGTTGAGAGCCTGTCTGTAGGCAATTCAATGTTTCGATAAGTCGACCGCCTCTGTGGTCTAGTGTTCAGAGTTCCTGGCTACAGATTCAGAGGTCACAGGTTAGATTCCCGGCGCTACCAGATTCTCTGAGAAGTAATGGGTCTGGAAAGGAGTTCACTCAGCCTTGTGAGGATAACTGAGGAGCTACTTGAATGGAACAGTAGCGGCTCCGGTCTAGAAAACTGAGATTAACGGCCGAGGGAATCCGTTACGCTGACCACGAGACACAATCTATCAGCAAAAGTTGGCACTAACTTCGCCGACAAGAGGGGTCGCTCGGTCGGTATAGTTCGCTTGCGGACTAAGAGCCACGAATTTTGTTATTTTTATAGGCTGTAATTCTTTGAGTAAGATACAGTCTTGATGTTATTTTATGTCAAGAAATATAAATTGCTAACTAAGTAAATTGATCAGTAAATGCCCGCAATGAACCCGGAATACCGAAATGCGGCACATCTCTCAATAGGAAGTACTGAACCCCCACAAAACATAAAGGAACATAGCATTTTATGTTCGTTTCGGCTCTACCGAGAAATATATTAATCCAGATTTAAGAATTAATCGCGCAAACAGAATGAGCGTCGGTTAACACAATTTCTACACGGCGCCACATCCCAGAAGACGGTATTCTTCATAGCCACCGCAGTGAAAACCTCAAATCTTATACAGAATGAGCGTATTTTGTGTCGTGACTAAAGTTCATATACGAGTCAGAACTGAAGGAAAATCTGTTATGTGCAACTACAAACATTTCCGGAGCAACGAGCAGGGCTACACTCGTTCTTGTTAGTAAGGAAGTTTTGGTGTAAATCTGGCACCTGACAGGGCAAGCCTCGACATAGCTGTTATTTTAGCATACCTAAAAATCAAGGGAGGGGGGGGGGGCGTGTGTGGAAGTCATTCCTGTCCTTCCATCTGTCTGTCTGTCTGTGACCTAGTGTCTGGGCCTAAGCCATTAAACATATTTCTTTAAAGTCCGATATGGGAGACTTTCACCAAATGTTGTGGAACAATTCAGAATTTCAGCCATGTTGATCCAGTATAAAGCCGTGTTTATTTGTACAGCCGAAATTTCACTGATGTGGGTTGTTCCTGGAGTTGTTTATCATCTGTCCTCAATTCGTCTTCTCCTTTGTTATGTACATAGCTGATAATTGATGCACCTGTTTCTGATGCTAACCTAGTTCAGTCGTACAACTCAGGGCTAATTTCAGGGAATATTGCAAGCGATGTCTAAGTGACGTCCGCTCAAGACAGGATAGCGCAGAAGAAACACTGATATATTTGTTAGTATGTGAATTATTATTATTATTATTATGATCAAAAAGAAATTTAAACAATGTAATATTACTAATTATATCATAACTATTATGACCAATTGAGCAGCTTCAGAAATTGTTGGTTCACTTGTCTTTTATGTAATTTAATATATGACACTTAAACCCCATTTGCGACCCTATTAAGGTTGACGAACGAGCAGCGGAATAGAGATTTCTTAATATTCGAATTTGAAATTAAATTTAAATATCTGATTGGATCCTTTTCAACGATAAAGACTGGTAGAGGATCACTCTTTATCACGGGAGACACATAATATGCTTCACCTTTTCCCTTCTAGCTCTTTGATTATTGAAGTCAGAATGTCCGGTTACATTTGGGATTATAGATGGACCTCTCCATATAACCCATAAACCCGTTCCACAGATTTTGTTGTGATTAAGTGTCCATGATTCCACCAAATATTGTTGGGCATTTCCGATTTTCGGCCATACTGAAAAAAATCCGTGGCCTTTAGTCCGCAAGCGAACTATACCAACCGAGCGACCGCCGCTTGTCTGCGAAGTTAGTGCCAACTTTTGCTGATAGAGGGTGCGGCGTGGTCAGCGCAAAGGATTCCCACGGCCGTTAATTTCGGTTTTCTAGACCGGCGCCGTTATTTTCCACTCAAGTAGCGCCTCAGTTTTCTTCGCGAGGCTGAGTGTACCCCGTTCCAGACCAACTACTACTCACAAAATCTGGTAGCACCTGGAATAGAATCCGGAACCTCTGGATTTGTGGCCAGGAATTCTGACCACTAGACCACAGAGGCGGCCTTCGGCCATACTGAACCACAATTGATCCGATTTATACAAGGATGTAAACTGGTTTTTGTGAGTATTCCGTAAACCGTTTACGGGTTTACCTGAAATTTAATATAGGAGACTTCCATCATATTTTATCGGGCAGCTACTGCCAGTCATGTTTATCCAAGATAAGCATAGTTTGCATAAGGCCATATGTGAACTTTTCCTTTCATCTCGTGAACACTTATGTAGGAACTGCTGAAATTTGACATGAGAAGTTTCCAGTAATTTCATCATAACCATGCTGAGTAACCTCAATGAAATTGCTAGAAGGCCTTTGTATTTTTTTTGTGTGTTTCTTTACGGAACCGGTCTAGAAAACCGAAATTAACGGCCGTGGGGATTCGTTGCGCTGACCACGCGGCATCCTCTATCCGCTAAAGTTATCACTAACTTCACCGACAAGCGGCGGTCGCTCGGTCGGCATAGTTCGCTTGCGGGCTAAAACCACGGCGTTTGTTTTTTGTTTCATTACGGATTACGACAATCTTTTTTCTTCCGGAAATATCGTTTCCTAACGTAACTAATTCTACTGATAATAATCCTTCTGAAATATATAATTACTCAGTCATGTATTTTCCAGCCTCTTATTAAACTATAAATTTTTCACTGTATTCAAAGGAACCCGTCCTCCCTAACCTAAAGAAAAAGCTTGTTGGAGAATTTTGGGACCCTTCCGCAGAAATATTGAGAGATTTGTTTCAATTACTCATTTCGCAACTGAAAGATCCATGCTACATTGTTAAAAACTGTGCGTTATACAGGACCGGTCACGGTAGCCGAGCGATCTAAGGCACGTACTGTCTTCGCTCGCTCGGAAGCCGGGATCGTGGGTTCGAATCCCACACAATGTATGAATATTTGGTGTACGTATGCGTTTATTCTGTGTTTGTGTTGTCCTGTGTTTAGGTAGCGGCCTTGCTACGAGCTGATCTCCCGTCCTACCATCTGTAAAATGATCATGAAACTGAGAAATCACGCTATGCTCCAAAGTGGGAGCAAGAAGAGAGGGGAAAAAAAAGTTACACAGGAAGCAAAATACAAGCATGCGCAGTCGCTTTGTCCCTGTTCAAAATATTGATTATTCTGGAAACAGTGCGCACCGCCCCAGTAACATATAGGCATACGTTCCTCTTATTGTCTCACGTACTTATCTGTATATGGAGGCAGAGAAGGGTAGATAGGTGACGGTGAGCACTGCAATTCTGTGCTCTGACGTATTTCAAGCTGGTTACACTCTTTGAATACGTAATAATGCAATGAAGCAGGCGAGTGGCAGCTGTGGATATAGATTGCTGCATATGTGGTTCTTAAATGCCTTGTAAAACAATTTAGATAGGTCTTGGACATGGCTACTTCCGCTCTGCCACCACTGCATTTGAGTCTACAGCAGACCTGAAGTTCATGTTATATATGTGTACGCGGCTTTCTTTATATGTAAATACGGAAACGCGCATATAAATAGCTCTGTTCTGTTTAAATATATGTAGTGAATGCAAGATTTCATCAATGAAGATATGAAAACATATGTGTTGTGATTCACGGCTTAATCCCAGTGTTGTAAAACGAATATTGATAAGTTACATGTTTATATCGTTAATACGAAGTCATTGATTGAATATTTATCTATGTTTACAGTTATTTCTCGTTAGCTGATACATAAACTTCACTAAAACGATGTAACTATTCCCACAGTGATATATGGAATTGTGTAACTTTCTCATATTTGTGCGATTTCCCTGCATCATTTTCACAACGTGACAATGTGACAAATTTGCAAGAATTGCGTTAAGTGGTTACTGACAATCTGTCTGAAACAGTATGGTTCCTAAACATAATGGATCAACTGTCCTTGTAGGCGTGTCTCTGTTTTCACTTTTGTTAGCTCTCAGTGTCTACTACGTTGTGGACAACATTGCAAGACCCTCTGACGACACAGCACATGGCAACTATTTAACTGAACAAAACAGTGAATCTTCAGGAAAGCAAAAGATAATGCACCCGCTAACAGAAATATTGTATCAACAATTATTTCAAAAGAAACCTCTTGGAGTATGTCCTGTCTATTTAACAAAGATTTGTAGGTGGAAGATATACAAACATGAAGACAACGAAACAACAGAAGAAAAAATTTATAAAAACACAACGAAAGACAAACTAAAAGAGTTTAATAGTATAATTAGATTATGTCAAGTGTTTGGACTTATAAAATATCAAGACGTTTGCTTTTATGTTCAGAACAGTTTTTTCCAAGTTATTCCAGCCAGTCGAAAGGCTTCTCAAATATTACAGGATTGTGCTTATATAAATAATAATGGTTATCCTTGTGTCGTAAGGAGCAACACTGAATCTCAGTATCTCGCCCCACGAAATGTTTGTGTTTCTGACAGCGCAACTGCCATCAATGTGCTTACTAAACGCTGTAGGTTTAGAACAGAGACATACCGCAACAACAGCGAGTTCATGCCGCTTGAAGATTTCATTTACGAAGTGGAAAACTACAGTTACAGAAATGAATATGGAGGTAAGAAGGGCGAAATTTCGGCCGAAGGCGCAAATGATAACAATCAGCAGTATAAATCTGGAAGCAACAAGACGAAGACGGGTACCAGTGCTACGACTGTTGTCTGCCATATATTGCTGGCAGCTCTGCTCGTAGCTTCTGCTTCTGTGGCTTTGTTTGAAGTCTGCAGAGATCGTCTAGGTGACAAAAAGGTAATTAACATCGTGGTTAAATTCGCATCGTTGGAATTCCTTGTTATCTAATATGTTCCGTTTATCAACAATAGCAGAACACTTTCTGTTTTCTTCGTGGGTGAGTAAAAATAACAATTTTAGTCCTAAAATTTAGTAGTTTGACTTTTTACTTTAGAAAGTTGGTGCCTACTTTCATGGTTACTTTTTGCCTACTTTATTTATTTTGCATAAATAAAAGTAGGGTTGAACGGAGTTCATGGATGTAGGCCTAGGCCCACTGGGGCTGTAGTGCCAAGGAAAAAAAAAAGTAGGATTATGAGATCATCTTCCTGACTGTGTGTGTGTGTGTGTGTGTGTGTGTGTGTGTGTGTGCGCGCGCGCGCCTGCATGGACCAAATACAAGGGAAGTGATGTAGGAAAATCTAAAGACATGTAGGAATTTAATTAATCAATTTAAAAAGAAATTTCTCAGGATTATCAGACAGCATCCGTACCGGCGTACTGCGTCTTGTGCTCATTAGGTAGAACATTTCGACTTTCGTCTGTTAAAGTCTTGCATTTATCAGAGTAGCTGATGTAATTGGAGCCGACGAATGTCTTACGGACACGAAAGAACGGAAATAGGATAACGTTCCAAGGCTGAACACGGTGATATTAATTCCGAATACTATCCCTTGCTTTCTAGTTAACCGTCAGAACAGCACTTTTACAGTAGAACGCCGATCATCCGAATTGCCAATTAACCGACTCACCACAACCACGCTTCTTACACAGAAACGCTTGAGAAACTTATCAGCTGGATAAAGATTTTCGTTTAATAAACAAACACCATTGTTGGACTTCATCAAATACAATATTTTAAAATATTGATTTATAATTAAATGTAATAACTGTTCATGTGTCACCTGCTTTAACTCTTTTTAGAAGTTATTAATATAATAGTACAGTGTATTGTAACAGTGTTTTGTTGTGGATAAGGCTTTAATCCAATTGCCAGAATTTTCTATTATCTGAACCACCTTCGTCGCTAATTATTTTTGGTACTGTGATTGGTGTTCCGAGCGGTCTAAGGCATGTACTATCTTCGGTCGCTTGGAAACCGGGATCGTGGGTTCGAATCCCACTCAGGGCATGTATGTTTAATTTGTGTGCGTGCGTTTTTCTGTGTTTGTGTACAGGTAGAGGCCTTGTGACGAGCTGATCACCCGGCCAAGGTGTCCTACCGAATGTGTAAGATCTAGAAAAACCGAAGTGAACGGAGAAGTTCATGGAGGTAGGCTTAGGCCCACCGGGGCTGTAGTGCCAAAGAAAAAAAATTGTTGTTCCACTGTGCTTGAATATTTGTTTGAAACTCTAAATTTGTGAAAGATTGCTAGAAAAATATACGTTCAGTTGCGACAGAACCTTATTCTATAAACTCAGTTATATGGCCATAATTAGTACCACAATATGCAACGATTGACTTTTTTTAGCTCGATCATCAACCTATTGTCTTCTGTACAAAACTATCCCACCATCTCAGTCAAATAGGTAATGGCATGCTAATAAATAAGATTGAGTTTCGTGGAACTCTGTATTTTAAAATGGGGGAAAGGCATCAGATATTAGAAGTTCCTAGATTCGAACCTGCATCCATTTAAATTGACGTTATAAACATCTATCCTGTGGTCTTCTGGGTTACGACACAGAACACTCTTTTAGCAGGCTACATGATTGACAGCCTGGAAGACCACAGAGAATCTAACAACAACTGTCTGATGTATAGTCATTTCTCGATTTACGCGGAAGATGCCCCCATGAAAACGCAGCGTAAATTAGAAGAGAAATCAAGACTTAATATTCTACAAGATTTTTATAAAAGTTGGGGATGCGTGAATGGGCCACACAGAGGATTATGGATATGTATTCATCTGAAATGTTTTATTGAGTTTGTTATTTTATTTTAGGGATCACTTTAAGATTTTATACCAGTGTTCCGCGCAGCTGTATCCACGTTGCTTCTGTTGTCTTCAACGACATTCAGTCGTCGGCCATATTGCCTGTTACTGATCACGTGATCGCGATAAAGTGAGAAATAATACGATATGAATTAAGAATTTTCCCCTTACTGATCACGTAATAGGACCAAAAATTAGAGCTACGACATAAATTACGAAATAATGTATGTTCTTCAAACGTCTTAAACTGAAATCGCATGAAAATAAGAGGCGTAAACCAAGAAATGACTAAGTAAAATTGGGAGCGGTCATTCTGCGTTAAGAATCCGTGGTAGTGCCATAACTACGCTTCAAAACCTCGCTTTAGGTAAACATATCAGGGCATGTACGTATGAATACTGGTATGTCTGCTTTTGAGACGAAAGGTGAGTGGGATACGCTGTCAATACATTTTATATATTTTTTTGACATGACAGAACCCGGTCTGTCATGATCCACATTCTTGCTTTCAATAAAATCATAGTTATATCTTTCTTAATTTATTATGTAAGTTTATAATTACTCTTCATATAAGTACTAAGAACAAAGTCTGAAGCAAACCAAATCCAAATTTGTGACTTATGACGTTGTTCAAGAAAAATTGACCCATATTCTTTCAGCATAGCTTTCAGAAGATAAGCCAAGCCTCAACTTAGGTGCTAAGTTTGAAATTCTATCCTGTAAAAATTTGTGTTTATTCCCAAACCCGCTTTACACATCCTCACAAAGAGATCGTAATTTGGGTTGAAATGTAGCTAGAGGGACATTTTGGATATTTTGTATTGCGTTGCATGTAGTTTGGACAACAATCCATTATCGGTGATGGTAGGATCAACGCCACTGGAGGCCGCTCCTTCTTGCTGGACAACCGGCGCTGCTCATTGGTCGACCTAACTGTGAGCCGGCACGCCAGACGGGAATCGGCCCAGCACCAACAGCAGGTGATTCAACAGGATTGCAGTAACAACAATGCAGGACCGTCTGTGGCCCAACGACGCCCACAGACGAAACTTCTAGGCAAGTGTCTGCATTAAGTGTCCTGTCCTTTTGAATTTTTCGTCTCCCTAGCTATTTGACGAATCTCTTATAACATTCCTACGGCAGATCAACATTTAAAGCAAACGGATGAAATTCTTCTAGGCCATCTTCACTTTACGTGAAAGTAATATCGTAGGGCTCTGATATTGGACTTTATCTAAGTCTTCTTCTTCTATGGCGCTTTATTTAGTTTTTGTTCCTTTAATGCTTCTTCAAATTCTTCCTTTGTTGGAGGCTCTATTATCTCTTCCTCTTCCCCTTCTCCATCATCTGTATTTTCTTCTTCATTGTCCTCGTTATCTTCCATATTCTGATTTTGATTTAATAATTGTTCAAAATATTCTTTCCATGTAATTTATTAGAAGCCCTTTTTTGTCTCGGATAAATTCTGTTTTTGGTTTGAAACCTTCTTTCATACATTTGATTCGACCAAAGGCATTTTTTTGTTTTGTTATTTTTGAAGTCTTCTTCCAGTTGCAGTAATTGCTCCTTTAGAAAGGCCCGTTTCTTTTTCCTGCAAATCTTGTCTGCTTTCCTTCTTGCTTCTTTATACGCCTTATTCCTTGCTCTTGTTGGTCTTTCCATATATTCCATATATTTCTTATTCTTGAGGTTTATACTCTCCCTACATTCCTCGTCGAACCATTCTCTATTATCCTGTTTCTCTAGATATCCCAGAGTCCTCTCGGCTTCTGTAATTGTTGCGGTTTTAAAATCTACCCATATCCCTTCTACCGTTACTTCTTTATTTGCTCTATTGTCATTAATTTATTTAATTTTATTTTGAAATGTTTCTCTCTTATCACTCGCCGTAATTTTGTCAATATTAAATTTCTTACATTTCTCATAATGCTTAGATCTTTGACAACTTATTTTACATCTGTATTTAACCTGTACTAAATAATGATCACTATCACAGTTGGCCCCTCTTAATGTTCTTACGTCCAGGATATTCGTCGCCTTTATCTAAGTCACTACTACGTAAATTTGTCCGCCAATCACAACAATTCTACACTTCCAGTGAATAACCGATATGCTCGAATTTCGATAAAATCAGTTAGTTTATTAAGATGTTATTTTTTGCTACAAATACAAGTAGGCGTTTACAAACAGCAAAATAAATATGCGTTAGTTACTGGACTGCGTGTCGCAATGAATCCATTGTTATAAGTCTCATCATGAACAAGTTTTACATGGCATTACAATGTTAAATATGCTGAAATACATACCTAAATTAATAAAACTTTTTTTTTAATTTGTCTTTCTAAAAATTATACTAATATATATAGGTGAGTTATGGGTGAAATGGAGTAGGGCGAGTGGTGAATGTTTTCGAATGTTGTCCTTTATTGGGAAGTGGGTGTTATATGAGTTTGTATTGCTGGTGCAAATAGTAGTGGCATGTGTATTGTTTTGGAGGAAAATGGGGTATTTCAAAAATTTTTCGATCCTTTGGTATACTATCGAATATTATTCGAGTATGCGTTGTCAGTATCGACGGCCTCGTCCTGTCTTGTTTTTTGGGTGGTCTGTGATTTTAGGCGTTCTGTGGTGTACTCATTGGTCGTATTCCTATCTGTTGTTCTTTACTGGTATGCTTTTACATACTGGAGGTTTTGTTTATGTTACTTTTTCCTGTTTCTCATTGATATGTAGTTTCGTTACTTCTGTTGATATGGTGTTGTACCCCTTGTGTTGTTGGGAAAGGGGGCAGAACACATCAGTAGAAGCAAGGAAACTACATTTTTGCTAAACTATAAAAATCTAGTTACTATAGGATTCTGACGATGGTGTATAACACACTGATATGTTGGGATTTTGGACTTTATCCNATAAAAATCTATACTAAAGTTCTTGTTCCTCATTTTATTTTGGAATAAGACATTTCTCGTGGGCATTAATATTTCACAATCATTAATAATTTAAAATAGGAAATCCATTCCTAAGCAAGCAAGCACAGATTCTTATTCACATTACTATTATGAATATTATATATATTGTCTGAAATTACCCTTCTTCGATAATTTTTGTCAGGAATTATGTGAAGTGTGAAACTCAAGGCTACAGCCAAAGTTCCAGGTACTGATGTCTGACACTTCCAATTTGACCCATAAATCCTCCTCCTTATTTCACATATTTACCAAGAACATACTTTTCCAGGTGATCGACCACCACCACTATTACGTCGGAGCTCATTTCCTGTCCACATAGGAGCTGCTGCTTCAATCACCCATCACTCTTTCACACCCAAAGAGCGTGTTCCAACTCCCAGTGGAACAGCAACACCTACCAAACCCTCATCAAGGAAGGCTTCAGTGGACGGAAGTGAAGGTGACTCTTCACCAGACATGGGGAAGCGAAGAGTTAGGTTCCTAAGAAGGTACTGAAGCTTGAATGAAATATGTCAGATATATAGCATGAAGAACGTTCTTGCAGGACCAATGCCTGTGAGTCTACCTAATGCATCTGAAAGGACTGCTTCTTTACTTGTACCCAATCCAATTCTGCTGTGAGGTAAAAAGTGTCATACATGCTATTAACTTAATTGTCAACAGTGGTACTGAATAAATTTATTAATATTCCAATTATTGCCATTAGGTTTGCCTTCTCCTTTATATATGCCCTTATGGCACATAACTCTCCCCATACACCCAGTGCACTTCCAGAGACTGAAACTTGGTTTCGTCCTTGGGCTCTAACATACACCCCTGCTCTAGCACATGTCCTAGTATTGGATGTATCCGTACATTATATGTCCTGTCCTATCAAATATGTCTTATAAATGGAAAAAAAAGTATTTCAGCAATCAATCCATAGCCTAAATGCGAAATACCCTATTATTATTCCAAAACACAATCTATTTGAACATATTTAAGGCATACCATTAATGCAGCATAACCAGACTATAGAAATGCAATAAATACAATTAATCCTTGTGATAATCTTTAAAAGCCCACAATACATAAGAAACCAGATTGTAAACGTGTACAGCATACATTTAACAGGGACTATAAATTATACAATTAAGATCATGTTGGACTCTTCCTTAAATAATAAACTCAAATACAACTCTTACCTATTAGATGATATTTATTCAGATTGGTAAGATGTTAAAAGTATAGACATACAGAATGAATAAACGGTTAATTTTAAGGATTCGCTGTTCACTGTTATTACACACTCCAAAAAAATATTAAATAGACCTGTACATAAAATACACAATTTAAGTTTGTATTGTAATACACCATCACATTAAAGAAAAAAACAAATATGATTTCAACACAATCCAAACTCAATAACGGCTTTCTATTGCTTTTCCGCTCAATTACAATTGTATTAAGGAGAAGACTATTCAATATTAAATTTTGGAAATGCATGCGTAGCACCCCTTTGGTTCAATTATCTCGAGAATCTTAAGATTTGTGGAAATGATGTATCGGGTATAAAATGACTTTCATTTTTCGTTATAACTTACGGACAAAATATTCCTCTCTCCAGTAAATATTTGGCGAGATTAGCTGGAGATACGCACAGAAACGCATGGAGGTCCTTATGCAAGGTTTCTGCTAACCTTGCCCGATCTGAATAAAAATTGAAAAGGACCGGCATTTTTTTTTTTTGGTATGAAATTGTATGAATACGTCCAGCGGTTTTATACTGACAGATCGGGCGATCTAACTATATGCGCTGCACAATAGTGACTGTGTAACAGTAATCTCAACTGTTGATGTTGATGATGATGATGATTATGATGTAATGTTATTTCTGTTTTTTTGTGCTGAACTCTTTCTGAAATGAGTCACTGTGAAGCTGCTGAGTGT